ATTGAGCTTCTCCATTATCATTTTCCACAGATTTAGTCAGGGTGATGCCAGTGCTTCCCATATGGTGAAATCCACCTGTATAATCACCATTTTATGTTGCTAAAAAAGGCATTTGCAAAGAATCAGTTATTGGCCTTGTAAAAAAAATGCTATCTCCATCATCGTTTCTAACACCAAGACCATATTTTCCAACTACTAACCTCTGCTCTTTGCTTTCAACTTTCGCATTCCAATCAGCAATAATTACCAATAAATCTTGATTACATGTTTGATCAATTTCAGACCTAAGAACTTAGTAGAATTCTTCCATTTCTGTATTACTGGCTTTGGTGGTTGATGCATAAATTTGAATTCACAGTTGTATTAACTGGTCTTCCTACTAGGTACACAAACGGCATTCTTATTTCAAGATAGACCTTGAAATCCTCTTTTATCATGAATGAAATGCAAATCTTCTTCAATCTGTCATGCCTGGTACAGTAAACAATAAGACTGACTCATTCAAAATTGCCAGTTTCAGTCTATTTCATCTTACTAATTCTTAAGATTATTGATCTTTTTACACATTTCATTTCATTTTTGATGACTTTCAATTTTTCTGGATTCGTACTTTGCACATTCCACATTCCAATTATCAATGGATGTTTGCAGCTGTTTCTGTTGAGTTGTGCCCTAAGAGTACATGAATTTCCCAAAAGCTTTGCTCCATAAGTATCATTAATGTCAACTCTACTCTGAGAGTCAGGTTTTGCTCAGGTGTACTTTTAGTGTCTTTCAACCTGAGTGGCTCATGTTTCAGCATTATATCAATTATTTCACTGTTACGCCTAAGATATTCAGGAGCCAATCCCGAGAGAAGATCTTTAACAGGTTTTGAGTTATGTATGTTTTAACCTTTTTTCATCAGTTTCCAATCACTGCTGCCCTGAGTCACTTCTCCCTTGAGGACGTGTTCTCAGGACATGTAGCTGAAGGACTTAGTGGTGCGTTGTTGTTGATTAAAACTCAGGAGAAAGAACAAGTTGGGAGGAGGAAAACCAGAGGACAGAAAAGTGTCTGGCACCCAGGTTTCTTCCCTATTACTGTTCTTTGTCTGAAGGGAAAAAGGGGAGTTACTTCCAGAGTGTAAGGGACCTTGAGCTGGTGGGGTGCAGATTGTACTCCTGGAAGGGAGAAGGCATTAAACACTGAGAAAGGAATGTGACAATAACAAATGGTTTAATAGCCAGGGGAGTGTAAAAACTCCAGCTGTATGGGGAAACCAAGGCAGCCTTGAAAAAGCATACTGTCTTCCATGTGTCCATCAGTATGTTGATTCTCATCCCTCTCTGTTATTGGCTCAGAGCAACCCTGTTCAGTTTCCAAGGAGGAGCTGGTGGGTTTGAATCACCGACCTTGTGGCTAGCAGTCCAGTGCTTGTCCTACAGCACCACACCAGGACTCCCTTGATAAATTCGGTGATACGAGTTTTGATGACATACATGGGTATGAATTTTATTATTTTTTTAAATTTCACTTTGAACTGTGGGTCCTTTTGTCTTATATACTCAAATCCTCTGGAATGGAAAACTGTTTCAAGCCATTTCTTTGACCGATTCCTTCCTTCCACATTTTACTCTGTTCTCTCAACAGAGCTATATAATGACGCAGACCCTACCTAGGCTGGCCCTCCAATTTTCTCATCTTTTAACTGCAGGTTTTATTCTGTCTACCTTTGGGCAGAACTTCTCTATCTTCCAACACTTTTTGAAACATTTTTTTATTACATTTTTAATTTCAAGGTGATTTCCTGCTTCTGATGATTCTCAGTGAATATAATATTACCTCAACTGAGCCAAGCTTTGCATTTTTCTTCCCTAGATTAAATCTGTTTCCCCTGCTTTCTTCTGGCTTCTACCTTTCCAGTTTGTGGCTTTGTCAACCATTTGATTATCCTGGCTGCTCAATTATGTCTAAGAGTGTACCGCTAAAAGGTGAACTTGGAGCTTGGTGTGCATGGGTGAGGTTTACTGACTGGTAGGCTTCATCTATCACTGGTGGAAGATGATGAGCTGGGTTCCTTGGCTTGCTTTTCTCCTTGGAAGAACCTCCCAAATGTCAGCCTCTTTTAATGCCTTTCCTCTTGCACCATTTAGTATGGTCCAAAGAAGCCCCTCTAATCTCTTGCTGGGTGAAGAGTCCTACTTGAAGATGAGGACACTGTCACACCATATGGCAAGTTATGTTGTTAAGTGCTATTGAGTCGGTTCCAACTCATAGCGACCCTGTATAGGGTTTCTGTAGAGCAGCCAGTGGGTTTGAACTTCCAACCTTGCCAGCCTTGTGGTTCGCAGTGCAGTGCTTAGTGCTTATTCTACAGTGCCACACCAGGAGTTGAGGTCTGTTTTAAGTCTGAGACTTCATTTGATTCTCAAAATTCCAAAGGAGCTGTTTTCACTTTCTCAAGAGAAAAAAGACTTGTCTTTTCTAGGCATAGAGTGTGGCAGTCACAATAGCTGAGTGTAAGATTTTGGATCTGGGTGGTCTAACTGCTGCTTATACAGACTTGAATCAAGCCCTGGACTCAGCTCTGACTCATCCTGGGCATCTGGATCCCAGGCTCAGCACACTGGTATCTGCCCATCTACTGTTGGCACTTAGATTTCACCGTCCTCCACTCTTCTGATTCACTTGTTAAGTGCTGTCTGCTGTCAGTTCTAACTCATAGTGGTGACCCTGCATAGGGTTTCGGAGGAGTGGCTGGTGAACTTGAATCGACAACCTTGCAGTTAAAACGACTGTGCAGTCCAGCACATTAACCTCGAGCCCCACATGTTGTTTTTAAGTGCCACTGAGTCAGTTCCAACCCACAGCGACCCTGAATAGGGTTTCTGAGGAGCGACTGGTGAGCTTGAACCATCCACCTTGCAGTTCAAACCCACTGCCTGCAGTCCAGCGCATTTACCCACATCCCCACCCCCCAAATTAAGAATGCTCTGGTTTTGCATTGTCTCACCTCTCCATCCCTCTTGGTCTTTGTCGTTTTATATGTTTTTCTCTTCTGGACTCTAATTTTGGTGACAGTTTGGGAGTAGAGATAAACATGTGTGGCAAATCTAAGTGGAAGTCCATATGCTGTAATTGTAACTAGTTCAAGTACAAATTTTCTGAGCATTTGAGGCAAGTAACACCAGATTCTGAGTCTGTGCAGAATTTGAATGCCAGCAGGGTTTCCCGCATCCAAAGGCGATTCTGAAGGTTCATCAAAGGCACAAATCAGTGACCTGGGTGAGGCCCACATTTGATGAAGCTGATCTGGAGAAGTGGCTTAGCTAATGCCCAGTCAGCATCCCAAGGAGGCTTTGTTGTTCTCTACTTGTCAGATGGCCATTAAATAATTAAAACTGTGTCTTTCCAAGGAGAGGTCGCTAAGGGAAATGAAATCTTTCAAGCTGCAAAGACGGGAAGCTTGTGCTGTGTGGCTGTGGATGAAAAAACAGGACTCCTGATGGAAAAAGCCGCAAATTATCTAAACACTTCCATGTTAGTAAATTAAAGAATTTGCTAAGGTCTCTGGACATACACCTGCCACCTGGGGCTTCAAATCGGTTCATTCTGTTGGACCTCCCTTCCTGCTGAGAAGGTGGGTTTCCACCCCAGCTAGACTGCATCAGAATTTACATGTTAACAGAGTCCCCAGGTGATTCTTAGATACTCAAGTGCTCTGATGCACACATAAGCATTCCCTGCAGGTACTATTAAAACACGGAGTTGGGGTCAGCATAATGGGTAGATATGCAAATTCTCAGTAGGGACTGGAACAGGAAGGAAAGGTTTGGAGCTCTGCCTCCAACTGCCAAGAATTTAAGGTATTTTCAAAGTCCGAATGCATCTGCATGCTCCAAATCAAGCCAATTAAGTTTTCTCCTGCTCACTGAGTCTGTGGATAACAAAGACACCTGAGTGCTGGTGTGGGGTGGAGGGATAAGCACTGGGCTGCTAACCACAAGGCTGACAATTTAAACCCAACAGCAACTCCTGGGAAACCCAATACAGAGGGTCGTTCTGAGTCAGAGTCAAAACCAAGTCGATAGCACTTAACAACACAACAAAGATACCAGAGCTCTGCACGGCTGTCTGTTAACAACTGAGGCTCCAAGCTAGCATGACTGTGAAATTTGTTTTCTCTGTTAGTTTAAAATACAGGACTTCATGTGTTTTAAAGTAACCTTCATTCAATGCTGGGTTAAGGCATGCAAGACTTGTAGAAATAGTTCCTTTACTATGTTGTTGTTGTTGTTGTCAGGTGCCATCGAGTCGGAACCGACTCATAGCGACCCCATGTACAGCAGAACGAAACAATGTCCGATCCTAGGCCAACCTCACTACCGCTGCCACACTTGAGTCCATCAATGATGCCACCTGGCCAATCCATCTCATTAGGGGTCTTCCTCTTTTTCTCTGACCCTCCACCTTACCAGCATGACATCCTTCTCCAGCGACTGTTTCCTCTGGACAATATGTCCAAAGTATGAGAGACGAAGCTTAGTCATCCTGGCCTCCAAGGAGCATTCTGGCTGCACTTCTTCCAAAACAGATCTATTGGTTCTTTTGGCAGTCCATGGCACCTTCAGTATTCTCCTCCAACAGACTTTTTGTTGTTGGGAAGGGCCCTCGAGTTGGTTCCAGGTGCCTGCATAGGGTTTCTGACAGGCAGTCTGAACCGCTGACCTTGCAAACAGACCTGTAAGTCCAGGTCCAGTGAAATCGTACAGCAGTGCCACACAATAGGACTTCAAAGTCTTTTCAGAGAAATGATTTAAAGGATGCCTCAAAGGCCATGTGTGACATTTATCACTTGCCATAAACTTAAAATCTCATACTCAATAGCATTTCCAGTTTTTCTGAACAGTTTTGAGAACCAGTAGTAAAAGACTCCTAAGCACTTTGTTTTTGTGTCTGTCCTCTGGGCCCATGAGGGGCTCCCAGGAAACATTATACTCCAGCTCCCATTTGCTTACCTGATTCCAGGCCCCTCATCTTTGATGTACCTCTTTCTCCTTTTCCAAAGTAAAATAAATATCCTCTTAAAAAGCCTCTAAGTTCTTCCACGGGAATATCTTCCCATTTTACGATTATGGAATCAGCAGATGTATCTTCAACAGTGAAATTTGGTGCTACAATGGGAGCTGCAAAAGTGGGGGAAAAACAAACTATTAAGGATATGCTTTGAGTACAGAGTAAAGACAGAACCGTTTCAAGAGATTTCTAGCCTCCAAAATACAAGGGAGTTTCAAGTTCATGGAAAAACATGTATTATCCTTTAATTCCACTGTCTCTACTCACGTCAATCTCTCTTGTGCCAAGCTTTGAATCCAGAAGTTAGTCTCTATTTAATCATACACTTTCAGAGACATTATCACAAACATTTGCAGCAAAGCTTACACTAATCACCAAAGACCAAAAAACTCCTTAGAGGAACCACAGGTGGAAGTTAAAATTTTCAGATAAAATGTGTCAAAATGCGTATCTCAGAAAGCAACCTATGTAAATTGTTAAGAGGTTACTTAAATGGATTTCATGTGTATTCCTCCCCCCACTTTGTTAAGAGTCTTGAATAAGTTAATAGTTGTCCTGGTGTGGCGCTGGGGGTTAATGCACCAGATTGCAAAGCCATCTGAACTGCCAAGGTCGGCGGTTCAAGCCACTCCTCAGAAACCCTATACAGGGTCGCTATGGGTTGGAACCGACTTGACAGCACTTAACAACAAACAACAAGTGCTAATTAAATATTTTTCACATCCAAGTGAAGATTTAATTTTCTCAGTGCAACAGTGAACCAACATTTAAAGGTGAATATTAATAATAAATAATCCATTTTAAGTTTACCTTACAAACTTATTTTTCCTTCCTTCACTTATGCATCTCAATTCAATCTACTTTTAAAATTCAATCTTACTATTAGGTATTGATTTAGTAATTTCTCCTATGTTATCTGAAAGAAAAAAAGGCACCGATTTTACTTACCCAGTTCTTCTATATAGCCAATTACGGAACGCAGTAACTGATAGCCTCGGTTTCTGCATCCATACAGGAAAAAATGGTATCTTACACCAGGTTGAAACTCATCTATAGGATAAATATAATTAGTAAATGTCCATAAATAATGACAATTCCCATGACTGCCTATTTTTAAAATATCAAATTTATAACTTAGACATTTTCAAAGGCGCCCTGGTGGCACAGTGGTGAAGCATTGGACTGTTTACTGAAACGTACGTGGTTTGATCCCACCAGAGGCTCCCAGGGAGAAAGATGTGGCAGTTGGTTTCCATAAAGATTTATTTATAGCCTTGGAAACCCTGTGGGACGGTTCTAGTTTGTCCTCTAGGGTCACTACAAGTCAGAATCAATTTAACGGCAAAAAGTTGTTTTTGTTTTCTTTTTTTAAAATTTTCAAATGGATGTTAATTAGTTTTAAAAATAAAGCACCAGTATTTTCAAAACGGATAAATCCACTGAGTAAAAAAATCAATGAAACAAAACAAATTATCTTTAACAAGGACGAGCACTGGACATCTCACTGCAAGAGAGATGAAGCTTTCTGTTCCTATAAGGATTTACTAGTGTGGCTCTGTAGGATCTGCACTAGACTATGAACAACAAGGTCAGCAGTTCAAACCCACCAGCTGCTCCTTGGGAACCCTATACTGTGTCGCTGTGAGTCAGAACTGACTCAATGGTACTTAACACCACCACCAACAACTAACTTCAAGGTCGGTGGTTCAAACCTACCAGCGGCTCCTGGGAAACCCTCTCCAGGGTCACCATGCATCAGAATTGACTTGACAGCACTTACCACCACCCCAGGACTCACAGCCTCAGAAACCCTGTACCAGGGTTGCAATGAGTCAGTGTTTTCAGTGGCAGTGGGTTTGAGTTCCGAGCATAATGAAAGTTTAGTGTTTTACCACGGCTTCACCATGCTGAAGGAAGAAGGTGACCAAGTCTTTGTTCCTCAAATCAATCAGAGCAAACGTCTCCCCGGATGGGACACAGGGCCAGTTTAGTAACCCATGGCAGGCCCACATCACACCTCTGTTCACCCATCCACCAACAGGGTTAGCTTTAGAGGCTGGCAAGAAATCACTTCCGCTTCTGTTCCCCTCGCTCCACTCCACCCAACCCCATAGGTCCTTGAGACAAGCCTAGGAGCTCCTTTGGCAGCATCTGCATTTCAGTGCCCTGGGGTGTGTTAACTTAAATAAAGGCAGCACTTGAATTTCAACTCAAAAAGGCTCTTTGAAAGGCCTCCTGAGTGTACTGTGAAGTGTTGGGGATGCAGAGATGACTGAAACAAGGTCTGGCCCAGAGAAGAGGGAAGGTTGCGGGGGGAGGGAGGCAGACAAACAAAGGTAACTACAACATAACCTGTTAAACAAATTTGTCCTGGAAGAAGTACACCAGAATGTCCCGTAATTACAAATGATAGTGAGGCTTGTTTCAGGTACTCGGGATAGATCAGCAGGAGAGACCAGTCCCTGGAAAAGGGCATCATGCTTGGTGTAAAGTAGAGGTTCAGCAAAGAAGAGGAAAACCCCTCTTCACAACGAGATGGACTGACACCGTGGCTGCAAGGAGCTCAAACTCATCAACGATTGTGCGGACGGTACAGGACTGGGCAGTACTTCATTCTGTTCCTGTGTACACAGGGTGGCTAGGAGTCCAACACACGGGACAGCACCTAACAACAACGTAACAGCAGTCGTTTCCAGGGAGACCTTGCTCGGGGGCAACATTTGCAGAATGTGGTTATTCTACTGAGGTTAAAGCACTGACTTTCCACTTCTGTGCCCACAGGACACCAGTGGTCCATAGGCTCAAAAGTGAGATGGTCACACTATAGAAGTCATACCTGTCCAAGAAAACTGGAGATTTTCCTTAATTAAAAGTTTCTTTTCTGGTAATGTTTCTCTTTAAAATGTTAGCTATCTGCTGGAAAGTATTAAGTAAATATTAAAGAAAAACTCGGACACACTCAGCCTTGCTTATTTTGGCAACTTTTGATGTCAGCACAGGTACGTGGGTTTATATTGTATGTATATAGTTAGTAAATAGGTTCCTAGTTTAAAATTGTATATATGTTCTAAATGTTCCTTGTGTTAAAATTATCTATGTATTCTATAAGGTTTGCCTACTTTATCAAAACAGAAGAGGACATGGTCCCTCCTCCTAACATGTCCAAAGTCCATGAGACAATGTCTCACCACTATTTCTAAGGGGCATTCTGGTGTACTTCTTCCCAAGACAGATTTGTATAGCAGGTTGTGTTGTAGTTACCCTTGTTTGTCGCCCCCCCCCCCCCTTTCTTCTCTGGGCCAGAGACTTTGTTTCAGTCATCTCTGTGTCCACGACACTTCACACAGTACAAGGAGCAGATCTTTCAAAGAGCCTTTTTGAATTGAAATTTAAGTACAGGCCTTGATTGACTAGCTGAATGAGCGCGCCCCAGGGCACCGAAATGGAGATGCTGCCAGAAGAACCTAGCTGGTCTGAAGGGTCTGTGAGGGCAGACTGGAGTGAGGGGAACAGAAGTGCAAGTGATGGAGTCCTGGTGTGGTGCTGTGGGATAAAGCACTGGACCCAAAGGTCGGTTTGAACCGCAGAGTCAGCAGTTCAAACTCACCAGCCACTCCTTGGTAACCCTAATGGGATTGCTGTGAGTGGGAACGGATCGACGGCACTAACAACAACAACTGAGGTCATAAAAGCAAAAGAAGAGTTGACTAGACTGGACTGACGACATCTCAAAGGAATCCTGGGACAGGGTCAGCACTGGCCTGCTAACCCCAAGGTTGGCTGCTGTCGTCCACCTTGGAAACCCTGTACAGGATCACTCTGAGTTGGAACTTAACAACATGTGTCACAAGATGTCCTAGTGGTGAAGAGGGTTAAGCTAAAACTTCAAGGTCAACAGTTCAAACTCAGCAGCCATTCCACAGAGAACAATGAGGGTGTCTGCTCCTGTAAAGATCTATGGTCTGGGGAACCCTGTGGAGCCGTTCCACTCTGTTCCTTCCCCAGGGTCACTGGGAGTCGGAATCTACTCAATGACAGTGGATGTGGGGTGGTCACCACCTACCACTCGCTATTCTAGAAGCTCAGGGGTGAATAAATGAGCAAAATCTCAGCCTCTAGAAGCTCTGAATAGCTTTGAATTTTGAGTATACTAGTTTTATGACCTTGGGCATGTTACCCAGCTTCCGAGCTGAATTTCTCGCCCACTGTAGGCCTTCACTCATGTACCTCAGCCGATACCACAGGGGGCTTCTAGTCTGACAGCTCTCAGCAGAAACTCATCTCCAGGGCTCACTCATGTAAGAGGACTAGTCTTCACCTCCGCCCCACCCCATTCTGATTGTCCTCAAAGCCCAGGTGAGAAAGGAGGCAGACAGGGTTAGAATTACAGAGTGCACTAGAACTGTGTAAGTGCCCGGGAGTGTAGCAAGGGTACAGCTAGGCTCTCTTCGAAGGGAAGGACACTGGAAGTCCAGCAAGACCATCTGCATGTGACTCTGGGAGTTTGAATATATTACAAACAAAACTGGAACAAAGCCTGAACCCACAGGTGATCATAAAGAAATGGGATTCACCCTCTGAAAGAGCAAAAAGGAATCGAAGAGGCAAAGAGGCGTGTTCCTGGAAGAGAAGCCATCAGGAGGCTGTCTGCTGTTCTGCACTTCATTAACACACGATGCAGAGACTTGAAAGGAGGAGGGTGTCAAGCATACCACTACTGACAGGCTACACAGCCCAGAACACCAGGGGCCAGGAGTACAAATCACACCCAGAAGCTGCTTAGAAGGAATGAGATACATGAGAAAAAGAGCTGTAAGTCCAAGAACGAAGCTGGTTTGGGCTATAGGTTATCTATCACATTCCCCTTGGTGCACAACTTCTTAAAGTTGCATCGTATCAAGGGTGTCCAGACCATCTTGAGGCTCTTGGGCTCACTAGCTACTTGGAACACAAGACTCCCACCCCAACTGCACCCACTGCCTCACTTATTGTACCATGTTAGGAAACACGGCAGGTAACAAGTGCAGGTGTGCTGTGACCAGTCTCTCCCTCATCTCAGTAACCTGGGCCCTGAGTGAGATTACACTGTCAGGCACGTTCGCCTAAGCTTCTCCCCGTGTTGTTAAATATGCTCCGTAAAGCTGGGGCCATAATTTAGTAATTTGGGCATTAGGGTTGTTTTTGATGCTGAGCATTCTTGGATATGAATCTGTCGTCGTTCTCTATTTCTTAGAATAAATTCCGAAGCAAGGAATTTCCAGATTACACAGCTACAAACCACAGACTCAGGAGAAAACCAATTCCCTCCCGCACCAGCGGAACGGAGGACAGTCATTTCACTGCCCCCAGGTCACAGCAGCTACTGCTCTTTAATCACTGCTTTTAAGAGCCTTTATTGGCAGACAAGCATTCATCTTACCAGATTCTATGACAGCTTCTGTGCGGTTTGAAGGGACTTTTTTCCAGTCCATCAGGCAGGGTCTAGGCCCAGACGAGTTACACCATTTAATGACGTAGTCGCAAGTCATATTTGGATCGTAATTCCAGGTGAGGGAAATCCCACGGCCCACTCCAACAGCCTTCTCGATTTTGAGGTCATCTTCAATGAGAGAGAGAGATTGTACTTGCATTAAAAACACGGATATAAAGCAAGGCTCATGAAAATGGACATTGTTTAAATCCCGTGACTACAGACATTTTATGCTTGAACGAGACAAACCTTCAGCAAAGATTAAAACTGTTGCTGCTATTTCTGTTCCAACCCATACACAGAGAGTAGCACATCATTTTTTCCAGTGGTCACTTTCCCAGCAGTTGGAAAAAAGAACTAGAAGGCACCTAGGATCTCTGTTGACGTACGATGGTCAGGTCAGAGAGATCAAGAGAGGATGGGCCTGAGGGAACCAGGGCTGAGATGAAGGGAGGAAGGGAGAAGACCCCCAGTGGGCAGCAGCTAGGCCCCTGACTCTCATTATCTGGTATAAAAGTGACGTCCCGGAGTACAAGCACCTGTTACACAGCACACAAGGAAGCACACACAACCTCAGAGGTGGGCTGACAAGGATTCTGGCAGACCAGGAAATAAAGACAGGGAGGAGGAGGTGAACCACTGAAATGTTGTACAGAGGTCAAATGGAACGGCCAATATGGACAGAGAGGGAACAAATCTACAAAGCAACTTGTGGGGTACTGAGATGCTTTGTGTAGGAGCTGAAGGCAGGAGGCAGGAGGAGGGAAGTGGGGGCTCTCAGCCAAGGTGATTAGGGAGGCCCAAGGCTGCAGTGAAGATCCGGCAACAGTTACAGCTGTGAGGCCAAAAGGAGGAGGAACATTTCCCAGTTGCCTAAGAAAAGATGTAAATTCTTTAACTGATTTATATTTAAGGGTTCAGTAAGTTGGGGGCTACTCCAGATGAGTGTTTGAACACCACAACTGAACACAACACAAAAGACTTGGGGCATGGACAGCTTTTTGGCTCATAGCAATTAAAAAACCACAATGTAAACCTATCCTGAGGCTGTTGGGCCTCCCACTTGAGAAATCCTCAACACACAAGCTGACTAAAAGCTGCCCGCCCTTACTACGGTTAAGTGACTGTCTTTTGGGAGACACATGGAAAAAGTCAGATTATAGTTGTTAAAATGAAAGACAACAGGGAAAGAAGAAAGGGCTACCGCTTATCACTGTGAAAGCCAGACTTTCTGTATAATCACTAGGCTAGCCGCTCCTCTAATGGACGCTCACACATCGGATTCTTTCCCTTTTATGATCAGACAAAAAGGAAGAGAAAGCAGTCCGCTTTCTAACCGCTCCCTCCCTGTTCCTGCTACACCACTGCCTGTGACCCTCTCCTAGTGTGTAGTGTTCTCTGGGCTCTCTCTGTCTCTGAAACACACTGCTTTCCTCCTAGTTCCCCGGTGCCTGACAGAAGCAAAGCACAGAACCAGGGAAGTAACAAGCAACTGAACACACAAGGGTTGACAAGATACCTATCTATATGAAGTGCCCTCCTGGACCACTTTTTCTTCCTCTCTGAGTGACTGATAATAAAAAAAAAATAAAGGGCTTCCCTATTGGGACTGGATTGGAACAGCAAAGGGAGGAGAAGGGTCAGGGAAGGACTCTCCAAGAGGAGTTAATGACTCAGAGAAGGAAGTGGCCATTGAAAACTCATGATTCACAAGTCCATAGAGAATACATATATATTTATATATCCCACCAATCTGTGAGTTTGAAAGAGGATATTTGCACGTGGGTAACCACAGGGAGGAAGCAGGACAATTGTTGTTGAATGGAGGGGACTACAATCACGGAATGAAACAAAGTTTCTTATCTGATGAATATAAAACTGATGATCTTGTCTGTCAACTGCCACTCAAGTCACAATTAAAAAAAAAAAAAAGCTTGACCCAGTTACAAAAATAAAAGTCCACTGAGATAAAAGGCTAAGGAGGGTGTACTGTTGTTTTAAGTGACATCGAGTCGGTTCTGACTCATTGACACCCTGTATAGGGTTTCCACAGAGTGGCTGGTGAGTGAGTCGCTGACCCTGCGGTTCACACTGACCTTGAGGTCCAGCACTTTATCCTGCAGTATCACTCCAGGACGATGTATTGTTGTTGTTGTTGTTAAGTGCCTTTGAATCGGTTCCAACCCACTGCAACCCTGTATAGGGTTTTCCAAGAAATGGCTGGTGAGCTTGAACTGCCGACCTCGTGATTAAACCAACTTTGCAGTTCAGCACGTTAACCCACAGCTCTACAAGGATGTATGTTAAATGTACAGGAAATCAATCATTTTCTAAATGACACCAAGGGTCACGATTTTTAGCTGATTTTGGACTTAATTTATACTGCCAGAAGAATTTATTATTGATAAAGGATTCTATTAATAAACAATTTATCCATAACGCTGCCATTTAAAAAGTTGTTTTTCCTGAATCACTAGGTAAAAATCGCCTCGCTGATGCATTATAAATGCTCATGGTCTTGGAGCAGTAACTGAATGTGGAATTGGAATAAGCTAGTTCTTCTCAGGAGTACTCTCTCTAACACTAGACAATAATGTAAAGGGGAAGACATCATTTTATCCAGCAGCGTAGGTGCTTTTAGCCCATATGAATGCCAGCTCTCACTCAATGGATGTTAGACATTCACCTGCGTGTTCCTCCATATAAGTCACCAGATAAGGGGACCCGCAGAATATTCTTGCTAGTATATGCTAAATGATCTCAAGTACTCACCATTTGGAATTTCCATGCTAGGTATCTTTGAAGGTGGAGACGATCCAGCAGAATTTTTTGCGACTACGCTGATGATGTAATCATTTTTATCAAGTTGTATTTCAGCTTTGTGTTGTCGATCAGGAATCTCAGAAAGGGACTGGGTTTTCTCATCCAATGAGCATGATACATTATAGGAAAGTATTCTTCCGTTAGCTTCATTAATGGGCAAAGGCTATGAAAAATAATTTTTTTTTACAAAATTATACAAAAAAGTAATAAATTATTTTTATAAACAACCTGCATGAAGGGACTATGTGAATAGGCAAAACCATCAAGTCTAAACTGGACACTACATTAACAGTAACAAGGTAAAAAGGTAACATTAGAAAACAGTGAGATGCAGATTTAATACTCCCTGTGGTCTCCCCATGGAGGCCCTAAGTAGTGGAAAGAGTTAAAACGCTCGACTGCTAATGGTAAGAGTGAAGGTTTCAAAGGAGCCTCAGAAAAAATGCCTGGCAATCCACTTCTAGAAAACCAGCCATTGAGAACCCTGTGAAACCACTGAGAACCTACTCTGACCCTCATTGAAGAGTCAGAAGTGACTCCACAGCAAATGACCTTGCTGAGCTTGAAAACGAGCAAGAAAACAAGTAAAATCTCTCTCCAAGTCCCAGTTCTTAAATATAGCTGCTCTTAGATCTTGATATTTCCCTCAAGTTGCTTTTCTAGCTATAGAATTTCATGAAGATTGTACTCATTTCATACACCCTTTCCATTTTTCTATAATGAACACCACACTTGGAAACATTTGAATGACTTTATATTTCATGCAGAATTTGCATCCATTTACTTGACTACTCCTCGTACAAACACAATTTAAGTTGCCCAGTTGTTCACAGTAAGAAAATAAAAATTATGAACTTTTTGGTGGCATACTTTTTTTTCCCTCTCTCATAGTTAGAATGAATTTAATAAGAATTCCCAGAAGCAGACTTACTACATAAAAGGAAATGAAGTCTAGATAATTAGCTAAGTTGCTTCCAAACAGATTGCCCTGACTTATACTTACACAGTGACACATGAGACCCTCTGTTCTGGACTCACTGTAGCATAGCACTGGTTTGCAAACATTGCGCCAGTGATGCTGTCTGATGACTCCCTCATGGCCCAGTCCACGGGGTTTCATTTGATCGCTGACCACTAGCCACTTGCATTGCGCCTTGCTCCTTAGGTTTCTGCAGTAACTATTTTCTTGTTTTTTCCTGCTCCTCTGACCTACCCAACCACCTCCACTGGGTACTCTTCCTGTGCCAGGCCTTATGTGCTGCATCATCCAGGACTCCATTCTTGTATCCTGGTATCCTGCCCTCAAAAGGTTCCACTTACATGCTACTCAAAACAATTGTCTTTGCTGTGTCTTCTCCCCTGACCTCTCTCCTGTGTATCAAATCACTGCCTGGATGCTACTCAAATATCCCAGTGGCACATGTTTAAAAAACTTAACAACTTAGCATTCCACCCAAACATGCTCTTCTCCTTGGCAAATGGCATCACCATCAAATTAGAATGAATCACGACGGTATTTTTCTTGGTAAACATTCAACTAGGTTGAATAATATTCCAAAGAAATTCATCATGATGGCAAATTTCCTGTACATTGATGCAATCTGAATAATTGTTGCCATATTAATCATGCTATCTGACAGGAATCTGAGAGCGGTCAACGAGTTTTCTCATCAAGAGGAAAAGAGAATGGGATAGTCATGTACAGACTGTCTCAAAGCACTGGGACTGACATTAACCCTGCACACAAATCACTTGACTCAAAGCTGCTTTCCTGTCCAATTTTTGTAAAAATATAATTGACCTACTTTAAGTAACAGTAGTCACTATTTAGAGAAACCCAATTAGGACTGTTCTCACACCATCTAATGCAGCTCAGTCCCAAAGAACCAATGTCCTCATGCATGCCGCAAGGTGGAAACACCTTGACAACATCCTGCTGAGTGAAACACGGCAGTTACAAAAGGCAGTTACTGGATGAGCTCACTCGTATGAAATAAACAAAAATACCGAAAACCAAAGATCCCTGGAGATGACCAGGGGTGGAAAAAAGAGTTTGTGTTTTAAGGGGCATTGTAGTCAAGGTGGTAGACAGATTTGGAAAAAGATAGTGAGATGGTTGTACAACCTGAAGAATGGGATCAGTTCACTGAGCTGTGCATATAGAATGGATGAGAGGCTGTGTACACACACACACACTCTAAAATCTAATGGAGACAACTGTATGTTTTTACTGCTCATAAATCAGAGACTGAAAAACAGCAACAAAAAAGTCTGCTCTAGAAGAGAAAAATGGGGGAAAGAACACATATTCTAAGAAATTTTGCAAAACATGTAACTGTATGAGTGAACTAATAAAAAGCACTTTACTTAAAGAAAACAAATTACATATGATTTGTATTTAAAAGTCAGTTTCTCATTCACAGAGGGAAAAAAAGTCCCAAACACTTGCGTTTCTAACGTGTGGATTTAGTGTGTGCTTCTGACCCGAGTCAAGGACAAGGAATTCAAGACACAGTTCAACACTTTGCTGCTGTTGCTGTTATGTGCCGTGGAGTTTGCTTCCAATGCATAGCGACCCTGTACAGGGGTTCCAAGGTTGTCAATCTTTGTGGGAGGAGGAAGCCTCGAAGCCTCAAAGCCTCATCCGATGCTATGTAGGCCTCGTAAAATCAAGCTAAGGTATGTGCGCAGCAGCTTTGAGACCAGAAATTCTAACTGAAAACAATGGGGGTACCTCAAAACAAGGGATTTAAACACATTAGAGTCTCGGCAATCCTTTAAGTCAGTGTGGGACCCAGAGCGTCTTGATAACCTAAAGAGTAGTTTAGTCTAATAATTACTTAAGTGTTCGAGGAAAAAGGAGATACTGACCTTCCAATAGATTATTAAATTTTTTCCATCAGAACTCCACTCTCGCCAGGTATCTGGTCCCTTTGAAGGAACTAGGAAGGAGATTTAAAAGTAAGTCTCTGAAGATTACCATAAATGCATTGACACTGTCAGTAACTGATACACTGGTGCCTGAAATGTTTTTTTTCAGCAGCTAGAATTCTTAACAAAAATGTAAAACTGTTCAGTGACTGCCGCTTAAAAAAAGTAAGAAATGGAAAACTTAAGCTCGCAGTCTGTGGAAAACCCAGAAGCCTCAGAGTAAGTTAAGATCCCCCTCAAATTCCTACCACAGCAGTCCTCAGGGACCCTCCCTCTTACTGAAGGCCTCGCTACACGCTGGCTTCCTGCTATTCCTCAGACTCTGCATTTCCTGTGCCTGTGCCAAGGAACTCTTCCCGTGTCAACCACGGGGCTTGCTTCCTCAACTCCTTTACATAGGGCAGACCTTGGGTTAAAAAAAAGATCCATTCCTAAGTGGATTAATTAAAGCCTGGAAGTCAAATTTGCAGCTAAGTCAGAACAGGTGTATAATGGTTCTTATGCAGTACAAGTAAAGGTTCAAAATCAAAGCCTTCTCAATGACTTAAAAATTGCAAGTGTAGTAAGTGAAGGTGATTGTGATGGAGAATTTGATTCAAGAAGGAGTTGGTTCAAATAGCTGTTAAGTGTGGGCAAATTTACATTGTATTAAAAATTAAGTTGGAATTGTCAGTAAATTAGATATTCTCAAATCTGGGAACTTAAGCTCAAAAGTCTTCTTGCCCGGGCGGTCTTTCCTAACAAACCTATTTAAACAAGGCACTGCCCTTCATCTCCCTCCCATCCTTTCCTACAATCCTCTCTAGGTTTGATTTTCCGCTGTGATCCTGAGCATCACCTGGCAACCCTGTGTGTGAGTGTGTGTGTGCATACTGCATTCCCTCGCCACTATAAACACCGCGGGCAGAGTTCTGTTCCATTCACTGCTATCTCCCAGGTGACTGGAACAATTCTGACACATAATGTGGACTCAACAGATCCCTGTTAGCTGAGGCAATGCTTCCATCTTAATGAGGTATAAACAAGATGTTTCATCTTGGCAAAAGCAGCTCATTAGCTGAAGGTAAGCGCTCCCGTGATAGCTAGTCTCCAAAATGGCCAACGGTCCTCATGCCTCCTGTCAATCATGCCCCGGTACTGTCCTCCTAACATGTCTCAGAAGTGTTGGGTTATCCAGTAAGCAGGGTAAGCACAGGCATACTTCTACTTACTTATGAATTGGCAGGGAAACATACTCAGTTTTTCACCACATCAAGGATTTGGCTTCTAGGTTTACTGGGATCTTTCTCCCTTCTAACCCTACAATACCTTCCGACAGAATCAAAGCCGCTTTTCAAATTTGCAATCCCGGACAGGGACAGAGTACCCCAGGAAGTGGTGAAACCCCTGAGAAATTGTTCACCATGGACTAGTAAGCCTGTGCTTACCTTGCTTACTGGGTAATCCACCCCTAGCTGGCCTGTGTGTCCCAAAGAAGAGACAGACATGATGATGGCTCACTTTTGAGACTCTGTTGTAAAAGACACTGGGATCTTTTCTGGGCTCACTCACTGCGAAGAGCAGGCTCCCATGGCAGGAGGACACTGGGAAGTTCTATGGGAGGCCCACCTGCATGGTTTGGGGAGAGAGCCATCACAACAGCGGCTCTCCTGGCTCCAGGTAAGCCTGCAGTCCCGGCCCACAAGCTCACTGCAATCTTGAAACCCACAGCAGCTGCCCAGCACAGCCATAGTCACCCCGCTAAGCTGTTCCTGAATCCTTGGGCCACAGGAACTGCGAGACGGTAACCGCTTACTGTCTTAGGGCAGTGAGTTTTAGGGCAATTTGTTGAAAATCAATGAACAACTAGTACATTCCTCTCCAGACTCATGTTTAGGATTCATCTATGAGGAGTCACAGAATTCTTATACACATTGCAAAGGTTCCCCAACTTCCCTCGATTTTGTCATTGTTGTTAAGACAATTCCAAGTCATAGTGACCCTCTATAGGGTTCCTGAAGAGCAGCTAGTGAGTCTGAACCACTGCCTCATGGTTCAAACTGACCTACCTTGCAGTCCATTGCATTATCCTGCAGTGCCACACCAGGACTCCATGGGAGAGGCAAAATCTAAATTAACATCCATCACTTTTTGCTTTACTGTCAATTTTTTTGAAAGGCATTGATATATTTCCTATGCTATATATGTCAAATAAAGCTTTTGCAGTCTTTTGTTGGATGATTGCTGAAAATTACACCCATGTCTAAGTTTTGGTTTTGTTTTTAAAGCTGACATCTGCTTATTCAAGGACAGTCTACCTATGGAAGTGAACACACCTGAGAACCAGTCACCTGGTTAATGCCTAGGGTGGCTGTGGTATACGATACAAAGTAACCTTCAAGATCTTTGGGCCCCATCCGTGTGTCGGGCTTAGGTCTCCAAATAAAACTTCTAGTAAGTTTCTTTTACTAATAATTGTTTTCAATGAAAAGGCAATCAAACCACAGTATTGAAATGCCAGTGAAATGAGGAAAGGGAGAAAAATCACCTCATAATTTTACCAGTGTCATGTTTGATTGTATACACAGCGTGTTAACACAGCTGTTACCATACTGTAGGCAGAGTAGCCAGATCCTCTCACAAACATGTTAGGCATTTTCCCATATTACCCTCGACTTTCAAAAACATACTTTAAAATGTCTATTTTATTAACTCCATTATTTGGAGTCCTAGCATGGTGCTACAGGATAATGAGCTAGATCACAAGCTTGGCTTGAAGAGCAAAGTTGATGGTTCAAACTCACCAGCCATCACCCTGGGAGCCCTATCCATGGGCGCTATCAGTCGGTATTAACTCGATGGCACTTAACAACATTACACTATTTAACCATTGCCCTCCTCTTAAGCACTTGGGTGGCACAAAATAATCATTAGCCATAAAACCACTTGGTTAACTTACTGGCTTCTATGGTTAGGTGCTGTTTTTCAATGGTCCAGTTGCTCCATTTCCAGAAAGTTTCAGAAGCACAACGAATCCGAAAGGTATAATTAGTATATGGATTTAATTTGTCCAAGGTAACGAGATAAGTTGAGTTTTCTAGGCCTTCTACTGTGATGTTCCGCTATTAGAAAAAAAATCAATCAATCGTTACATGTACGTATTGTATAGGTGAACCCTATACAGGGTCGCTATGAGTTAGAACCAGCTCAGCAGCACTTAACAATGCATGTGTTTACATATACACATTTTTTTGTATAGGAAAGTCTCCCACATACGTAACGCAAGCGTGAACATATGAGGGGGATTAAAAAGTTGATGGAAATATGGAATCACAAGATAATGAGATTTTCCCCCAAACTTTCTGAAGCCCCCTCCTCCTATGACACTGAAGGGGATTCATCCATGGTAACACTTTAATTCTTATATATACTTGTACGTGCCAAGCCAGTAAGATTAGGCTGTGTAATAGCTACAAGCAAATAAGGGTAAGCTTTTTAATCCAAAAAATGGACCTAAGTAATAAACGGTCAATTAAACTATGCAGAGATGATCATAAATTTTGTTTCAGAACTTCTGAATCATCAGTCCGTGGCTAACGGTGATGCAATAAACCTCACCATAATTTAGTAATTTGGGGTGACCTTGAGAATTAAGTAGACTATTCACATGGTACTTGAATGAGGCTTGTTGGAGGCAGGGACCATCTTTTGTGCATCTTTTTATAAGTCACTTAGAATCAATAATATGTACTAGGCATGAAGTAAATATTTAGCAAGCATTATTTTACTTTATTAAAATGAAGTCACTCTAAGTACATTTGAGGAGTTACACATTTCAACAGAAGCTCTGCGCTCCTTATCACTTGTTACAAAGAAGCACTTTGGGTCAGAGTTTGCAGTTCTGACCTATTTCCTAGAAATCATCAATACATTTCTAAACGAATATTCAATTGCAGTATCATTTCTTTTGGAACAACCAGAAATTGTAAGGTGCCTTGGTGGCACAATGGTTAAAGCGTTCTGCCTGCTAAAGGACAGGTCTGTGGTTCAAATCCAACAATCAGCGGGAGGAAGCTGAGGGAGTCTGTTTCTGTACAAAAGACAGCCTTGGGAACGCTTTGGAGATAGTTCTCCTCTGCCCTGTAGGGAGAGTCACTGGGAGTCGGAATTGACTTGGTAGCAACAGGTTTCATCCTTTGCTTTTTGTGCCACAAGTTATAAGATGGTTCAGTATAAAGTCAACCTAAGTAATTAAAATATATTAAAAAGTCATACTTTGCCTTATAATTACCAATTATCATTATTACTTGCTCCGGCTGCTGCACTCTGAGATTTAAAGATGGCTTCTACTCTCGAGTGCCGGTTAGTTCATTTAACTGCTGCTAAAGGCTCCAGCACTACTTATTCATTCACAAAATCCTAGGTATGTGCCAGGTACTACACTAGACCTACAGACCTTCTGATTATTAACAGTCCAGTTCATATCTTTAATATTCAACTTGACAATTGTTTTGAAATGCTAAATAAAACGTTGTTACTACATTGATACGCATTGTCTGTAAACCCTTCCAATAAATAATCTTAGATTTTACACACATGAAGTTGCTGGCTTCAAATTTTTGGAAGTTCAGTGTTTTATCCAGAACCATCTCAAAGCAAAGTTGCAGAAGAGTCATACTCACCAATTCTTGTTCTGAATTACTTTTATTAATTTCAATTTGACATAAAAGATTAATCTTTGCAAAGCTGCCTAATAAGTCCCAAGACAGTGTAACTGCTGTTGAGTTAGTATCCTTCACTTTGAATGAAGTAGGAGTATGGGGATAAACTGTAAACAGAATTTTAAAAATTAAATTACATTAAAATTTACAGGGGACAGACAAGGTATTTTCTAATATGACTAAAAAAAAAATAAAACACAAATCCAGAAAGGTATCATTAGTTCTTAACAATACCCTAACTAGTAATTTTGGAATAGGAGACCAGGTGAGCAACAGTTGAGCTCTTAGCTGCTACCTGAAAGGTTGGTGGTTCGAATGCATCCAGTGGCTTCTCAGGAAAAAAGACTGAGCAATCTGCTACTGTAAACACTACAGCCTTGAACACCCTCTGGGCAGGGAGGCCCTGAGCTAATGGCACCTAATGACACCATCACTTAGAAAATCCACACACTTCACTTGTAATGCTAATATCATGCCAATATTCTGCCCCCCTCCCCCAAGAACAAGTAATGCTCAAGGTGCTTCAATGGTGTTGGGGATACCTTAAGGTAGTATGGTCAAAGTCTACCTTTAAGGGACTCTTCATTCACTTGGAGAATGACGGACAGAAAGAGAGAACATGAACCAGCGGATGTGTGCTAAGTGCCAACTGAGTGGTTCAGCTATGAAGGGGCTTCAAAAAGCTCATGGAATCATTCGATTCCCTTTCCATTCCAATTTTCCATGAACTTCTTGAAATCCCTTCCTATTAACACAGGAATGTGAGTGTGATTGTGCGAGAGAAGGTGTTAAAAGTGAAGAGGGACATAATATGAGCCCTGAAGGAAGGATCAGAGCAGAACACTTTTTAGGAAAGGGCTCCACAGGAACAAAGGTACAGCAGAGGGAACCGTGTTACAGTCCTGAGGGCACTTAAGCTACTCTGTCTGAGTGGGGGACGGGGAGAGGGCAGACGTATAAATACTACCACTCAAATACGAACTTTAGCCATTCTGACCTTAGACAAAATCAGCACACAATAAAGATAGCTGGAAGGAAGACTTATAGAAATGACTGCTATTTAGAAATGAAGCAACGGGGTCATCTACTAATCACTTGTTAGATGCAGTTGAGTCCATTTTGACTCAACTGACCCCGTGTGACAGAGTATAGCTGCTCCCTCCGGTTTTCTTGGCTGTAATCTTCATGGAGGCAGAATGCCAGTTCCTTCTCCTGTGATGATGTTGGGTGGGTTCCAACTGGCAACTTGTAATCATTTGTGCCACCATGCTATACTGTAATGCATTTGGTTTAAGTCCCCACTTCCCTCCCCACTATTGTGAGCAGGGAGGGGAGGCTTCTACACCACTGTTTTCTGCATTGAGCACAGCATGGTCAATGTGCGTGGAGTGATTCTGAGAAGGAATTCAAGAGACTGAACACGTTTTACTCGTATTTTGGGTTGTATGTTAATAAGCTTGGTAAAAATTCAAAAATGGTTAAGAGTTGAGTCGGGCTGCCAATCTCAAGATCAGCAGTTTGAAACTACCAGCTGTTCCGCAGGAGAAAGTTGAGGCATTCTGCTCCTGTAAAGATTTACAGCCTCGGAAACCCTGTGCAGGGTCACTAAGAGTCAGAACAGACTCCACGGCACATAACAACAACACTGAACATGCAACAACTTGGATCCATCGCAAGGATATTATTTTTATTTAAAAAACTACACCCTATATGCCTCAATTTATGTAACATTCTCAAAATGACAGACAATACAGAGTGGTCCCTGGGGACGGGACAGGGGCAGGTGTGTATGTGGGTGGAGGAGGGCTGCTACTGCGAGGCTAGAGGGGGAAACTCTTCCTGGTGGCAACACACCAGTGCTGTATCTTGATGTGGATATGGGTGTAGGTGTGGGTGTGTGGAGCTAGCTATCGATGGGATCACATTACATCATTGGATCATACATGGAATCAAATTGCAGAAAACAATACACACACATACCTGCAAATAATAAATGAATGCACGTGGAAACTGACTAAGGTCAGGAGCCCAGTTAACAGTGTGAACCACTGCCTGTTTCCTGGTCTGGATAGTGTACTATTTATAGACCAGACCAGCCGCCACTGGGAGAGAGGGTTCAGAGGACTGTAAAGGCACCATTTTTGTGAGTCCACAATTATTTCCAAATGAAAAGTTTGCAAATTTTGGACAAGAATGTTTTTCAGAACCTATTAAAGCCATTTGTTTTCTATAAAAATGACTAATTCATTGTTTTTAAATTTAAAACAGGACAATAAAAATTGAAGTTATGCGTGTTAAAGCTTTTAAAATAATCTTTACACAAATAACTATAAAAGAAATCGTTCATTTAAAAAAATCTCTACCAGCAGTGTTCACTAATACCAAGCTGTTATCAAGAGTCTGGTTTACAGATAGCGGCTTACCTCTTTGAGTTATGTTGACTAAAATTGTGGCTTCTGATTGACCCAAAGGATTCTGAGCATTCAAAGTAAAATTATATATTTCCTGATTTGGAATCAGCTGAAACAATAATTGATAGCTTTCGTTTGTGGGCTCATCAGTTCTTTTAAATGCAGTTTTTTTCCCTGAAAAACTGAATTAAGAGCAATAAAAACTATTAGAATGTGTTCAAAATGAAATGAAATAAATAATACAGGAAAAAAAGTGAATACTGGATTTCTAACAAGTAATCTTTTTTAGGAGCCCTGATATAGCACTGCAGGATAAGCACTGGATTGCTAACCACAAGGTCGGCAGTTCAAATCCACAAACCACTCCTCAGAAACTCTATATAGGGTTGCTACGACTCGAATCACCTCAGTAGTGCTTAATAACAACAATCTTTTTTTCAAAGTTTATATTTCCAATTATGGAATATTACAAATTCATAGAAGAAAATGTTTCTGATAGGGAAGGAAGCAAGAACATAAAAACGACCCATAGGCCCTCAAACACATCCAGAAACAGTCTCGGTTTATTTTTGAGTCTCTTTTTTGCCTTCCAACCTTTTTTAAAAAAGAAAGTCTGTCTTTTTTAAATTGCAGCATGACTAGCTATGCACGTTTTCTACATAATGCTTGGTTCATCATACAAACGAAGGAAAACATTTCCTACATCACTTAGCATCTTTCCAATGTACACCTTTAAGGTCTATGTCCTTCCAATTACTCTTACCTTTCATGTAAGGTGTAACTTGTATTGCGTGGACCCAACAATCCCGTCACCCGCCCTGGGTTCCAAGTGCATATAATCTCCTTTAAATCATGAGTTTCACAACTCAGTTCTTGAGGACTATCAGGGGGATCTAATGGAAAAAATGAAAACAAAATGTCGTTACTCAGGATTACGTCTCATTTTCCTTGAAGATGTAATGCTTTGTAAGTGTTAATCACATTTTGCCTAATTTCCTTCAAAAGGAAATCATTTATTGTTTACATTTTACTTCTGAACAACACAGGAATTTGTGGCACTGTAGGAGTCCTTGTGTGGCAATGTGGGATAAAGCATTGGACTGCAAGGGTGATTTGACCACAAGGTTGGTGGTTCAACCTCACTAGCCACTCCATGGAAATCCTATACAGGGTTGCTGTGAGTGGGAAACAACTTGACCACACTTAACAACAACAATGAGGATTAAGCACTTGACTGAGAATCAGAAGGTCAGTGTGGTTCAAACCCACCAGTCCTCCTAGGAAACCCCACACAGGGTCACTATGAGTTGCAATGGACTGGATAGCACATTAGCATATTTTGCCAGTTGGAGTCCTGGTATGGTGCTCTAAGATAAGCACTCGACATCAAGATCGGTTTGGACCATCAGATGGGTGGTCCAAACCCACCAGCTGCTCCTTGGAAAAACACTATACAGGGTGGCTATGCATTGGAACCGACTGGACAGCACTTACTAACAACAACGTACTGTATTAGAAATGGTGGGTAAAACAATACTATAGTGCAACAGCTGGTCTTTTGGGTTGCTAAACCCCCCAAAAGCAACCCAAAAGATCAGCTGTTATTTTCCCTCACTCTACTTCAGAGTTGACCAAAGCTCCCCAATAAACTTGTGTCCCACAAGTTAATTCAGACATAAAAAGTTTCAAAGTATTACCATCTATGTTTTATGATCTGAAAAGAAACACTAATATAAAAGTCAATATAAGTCACATTACAAGTTTCAGAGTTCTATCAGCTATATGGACTATTATTTGCAAAGTGAAACCACTGGTAAACTCCTGCATCATCAAATATTCAAACTGACTGCTTTACTTTTGTTGTTTCTACTCTATACTGAAACTTAACGCTCCTGGTTTTGTAAAGCAGGGCTCCAAAACAGAAAATAAACGGGTGTTTGTTCTGTTTGGTGAGACTTAAAACCGTACATACAAGAACTACAATCCAACAGGATTTATTGTACAAGCTGATATTTCTGTAATCAGATGGAACCAAACATTATAATGTTGTCGTTTGCCACTGAGTTAGTTCTGATGCATAGTTACCCTGTAACATAGGGTTTCCAAGAGTGGCTGGTGGGTTTGAACCCCTGCTGCCCTTGCAGTGCTTACCCTATAGCTCCAACCTGTTATTTCCTAAACCCCTATTCATTAGCCAAGTGATCTTTCAGTAAAAAGGTAACGGTTTCCTTTTTCTTCTTAATAATACATTTGTTAAAATAATCTAAAATAATTTGAATTTTTAAAAAAATGAATTTTTAGAAGTCCTTGGCTTATCAACCAACACTTTGAAAATTTCACATACCTTCCGCAGAGATGAAAATAGCATTTTTCAATGACATTTTAGTTATTATGAAGAATAATGGACATTTTATATGAAAATTTAACAATCTGACAAGTAAACTAACATCCTATTTATTTTGAGAATTATTTTAAATCTAAGGTCAAACTTTAATCCTACTTTATTAAAATCACATACCAAGCAATTTGAATACAATTAAGGTGCTGAATATTTTAGGAGTTGACAGAAATACTAAAGTAGAATACTTAAAATCCATGTCACAAAAGTAAAGTAGGAAGGTGTGAAAGGGAAGACCTAAGTGGAAAATAAGAGAGAACAGTATTTGAAATGTAATGTACTGATTTTCTGTTTGAAGAAATTAATTTACAAAAGAATCAACAGAAGCTAAACATAAGGTCAATGCATATCTGTATACCAGTAAATAGAAAATCAAATTTAAAAAACAAAGCCATTTTCAACAGAACAGCACCAGAAAATACCAAGCACCAAGGAATCAAAAGATATCACTGAGATATATCAAAGACCTAAATAAATGGAGGCACATAACATGGTTTAATGGAGTTCTGGTAGCGTAGTGGTTACAAATCGGGCTTTGAACCTTAAGGTCAGTGGTTCGAAACTATCAGCTGCTCCGCAGAAGAAAGATGAGGCTTTCTACTCCCGTAAGGATTTACACCCTCGGAAACCCTGTACAGGGTCGCTATGGGTCGGAACCGACTCGACGGCACTTAACAGCAACGACAACATAACATGGTTTAGAAAACTTAATATTATAAAAATAAATATTCTCCAAAACTAATCTATAGATTGAATCCAATTTTAATCAAAATCCCAACACAGGTTTTGATGGTGTGTGTGTGTGTGTGTGTGTTTGTGTGCGCATACACACACAAAGGGAGAAACTGACAAGGTTATTCTGAAATTCTTTTTAGTCTTTTCAACAAATGGTTGTAACAGGTTACAATTATATCCATCTGGGAAAGAAGGTGAATTTGGATCCCTACCTCACGCCATAACCTACCCTTATAAACGTTTCTAAAGAGCTTCCAATCAAAGGACATGTACCCCTGCTTTTGAGTGGATAAACATGAAACAATATTTCAACCTCCAAACATAAATGAAGGTTAAATTATAAAGTAAACAAGTTTGTTCTTGTACTATAAAAGATTAGCCTATGCTTAGAAAGAATAGAAATTGTTTCATCATTTACATTTAAATTTTTTTCTTCTATACTTTTAGGTGGTTATCTCATTTTCTGCTACCACAACCAATTACTACAAAAGGATGAGAGAAAAAACAACAAAATATAATCTGAATATTCTAAATGCATAATAATCTGTGGACATTCACCACAAGCCAAGCCAGGGCAGTGCAACACAACAGTGTTGGGACATGTCAAAGAATTTTAAAACCGCAAAAGTATTATGTTGACAGAGATGCCTCAGAATTCTGGAGCATCTTGAATATAGAATTCAGTGAGAGAGTAAGTCTTTCTCTTGCATTAGGCCTCTAGCTACCCTCTTATATAATGTTTCAAAAGTCAAAGGAACATTTTTTAATGCAATTAAAGATTTTGTGTAAAAGTATTATTTCTTCTTTAATTCAGAAATTTAAAAAAAGGTGTACTTTAGGTAGATGGTAAATTTATAAGAATTTCTAATTTAACAATTTAGAATAAAGTGTGGCACGGTGGGTTAATGCACTGGACTGTAAGATGTGGTTGAACCGTAAGGCTGGTGGTTCAAGTTCACCAGCTGCTCCTCAGAAATCCTATATAGGGGCTGCTATGAGTCGGAACTGACTTGACGGCATTTAACAACAACAACAATTGTATACCAATGATGTTTCACTCAATAAAGCTGCTCAGAATTTACAGTAAAACTTAGCAAGCCAACCGTTCCAAATCTTTCTATAAAAGGTACAAAGAACTAAGAAAAAAAATCACTCCCCCAGAAAAAGAAATAAAGCTTTCAGGAGGACCAAACAAATCAGGACTCTCTAATATTATATACTTACATCCTGCAAAAACAACTGTTCCAACCATGTTGTTGTCTGTTGTGAAAACCACGTTTGTTCCACTGCTCTGAGAAATAGAAATATTATAGATCTTGATCGCAACATTTTCTCCATCAAGATGGATAAGGGGACACTGCTCATTGCCAATCAGTGCTGATAAGACTTGTTCTTGAATTACACAGCAAAATGTTATATTTGAACCTACTAGTATCACTTTGTCCTGAGGAAAAACCTTAGGCTGAGAACCAGAAGACCCTAGAAAGAACACAAGGAATTAGAAATACTTCAGAAGGGTTTTCCAAAAAAATAGTATTCATAGTTGGTTTTAAACACACACACACACTTTTTATAATAGTCAGCCTACTATATACAAATATATGTAGTTAGGTGCTGTGCAAGAGTGGTACCCTAAACATAAGGTATGTCCCCTCAAACAAAAAAAAAAATCCCTTAAATACAAAGCTCACAAGAAATGTTCTTGACTGGGCTCCAGCGACTCCACTCTTTATGACCAGAGAAATGAAGGTCCTCAATGTAGCATCTGATTGACACAAAATGTGTGACACATTCCAAGGGTATGTCTGAGGTCCAACTCCACTCATGAACTGTATCTTTACCATTCAGTGTTGTGTTGTGGGTCACCTAAGAGTGAACGCAAACATAAAATGAGTTTTGAAAATAATGGTGGTTTCTCCTTTTTTTTAGAATTATAAAAACGTTGTTAAATGCTGTCAAGTAGGTTCCGACTCACAGCAACCCTGTATAAGGAATGTTTCCAAGGAGTGGATGGTGGGTTTGAACTGCTGACCTTGTGGTTCAAATCGACTTTGTGGTCCAGTGCTTATCCTACAGTGCCACACCAGGACTCCAGACAATTACGAGATAAGAAGGAAACTATCTCAGTTTTCTGTAAGATATGACTGGAGAGTTATAGTGAATATAGCCATGATTCATTTCTGTCTACTTCTTCACCTTTAGGCCCTAGCACGTTATCATACAAGGTGCTGATATTTCAAAATATTTAACTATTGTTGATAGGTGCCATCGAGTCAGCTCTGACCCACAGTGACCTTTGCACAACAGAAAGAAAAACACTGCCCGGTCCTGTGTCCATCTCACAATCGTTAAGCGGAGTCCACTGCCGCTGCTGCTATGGCATTCCATCTGGTTGGGGGGTCTTCCTCTTTTCTGCTGAACCTCCACTTTACTTAGCATGGTGCCTTTCTTCAAGGATTGGTCCCTCCTGATAACATGTCAAAAGTATGAGAGACGAAATCTCATCATCCCGAACTCAAAACAGCATTCTGGCTGTCCTTTCTCCAACACAGGTTTGTTTGTTCTTCTATCAGCCAATGGTACTTTCAATACTCTTCTCCAACACCTTAACTCAAATGCAACAATTCTTCTACGGTTTTTCTTATTCATTATTTAATACAGTACACACATACAAAATACTATGATATAAACAAGCTCCATTGCTCATGGAGATAAACGAATTCATTTGTTGAATTTCTAAGACATAAAGTCAAAGGGGAAAGCAGTGTTACTGCTGTGTTGTTAGGTGCCATCAAGTTGCTTCTGACTCACAGCAACCCTATGTTGATGAATCTGAGCCCGCTGTTGAAGTCACTCACTGTGTCAATCTATCTCACTGAAGGTCCTCCTCCTCCTTGTCACTGACCCTCCACTTCATTAAGCATGAGTTCCTTTTCCAGGGACTAGTCCAAAGTATGTGAGAAAGGTCTCACCAATCTTGCTCTTAAGGAGCATCCAGGCTGTACTTCTTCCAAGACTCAAACAATTCAACGGCAGTTAAGAACAATATATACTACTTGACACAGTTTTAATTAATGTTTATATAGCTGTAAAACAACAAATACACATTGGCTGATCAAAAATGGAAGAAGATATGAAATGTAAGAAAATGTGTGTGTACACTTGGAGGGGGTGGAGGGACTGAGAGAGCTAAAGTCTCACCTTCCATCGTGGAAAGTTAATGAAATACTGCTCAAAACGGTAGTTTAGAACAGCTAAAAAAAATGAGCATGTTATTTGGGAGAAACGTAACAAAAGAATGAGCCAATAGAGTTGAAAAAGGTTGTTTCCGCAGAGAGGGCTATAGGATTGGGGAAGGGGAGCCAGGACTGCTCAGCTCCTAATTCCTGGGGTGTCAGTCACAGCAAGGCCTAAGCAGTGTCCAGCTCTGCTGTAGACAGGAGCTGTGGATGGAGTGACAAGTGCCTTTCAACGGAAACACTGCACAGGGTTCTAGAGCGTGAAACGGTTATAGGACAGCATTCGAGTAAGATGGCTAAATTATAAGCAATTCTGTCTGAGAGGACTGCTAATGATATGTAATTGTAAATTATAATACCAAATGTTACTAGAGAACCGGGTCCTTTTTCCGCTTGTATTTCCTTTTTAAAATTAGTTCCATCTCTATTCCCCTTTACTCTGACTCTATTTTCTCTTACCAAGATTCTTCTTCATTGATTATATTCCTAACAGTAGGGAATCATCACGTAACCATTGGCGACTTGTTATGGGTTTTGTGGTAATGAGTAATGTGGTCTTACAGGAGTATTTCCTTTAGTTTGTCTTTGATTTTACTCATATTTCAAAGAATATTCTTATATATTAGTATCCTTTATGTTAGTTAAAAAAAACAACAGAAAGTCAACTAGTCTCCAAAGGAAATAATGACCGAGACTTGGTCAGCAGCTTCACAGATAAATCATTACGATTGACATTTTACACTCTGTGGTAAGAAGTCACCCTAAGCCACTAACTGGTAGTCCTCGAATGTAAAATGTTATGTCATTAAAAAGTTAAGCAAGACAATTTTAAATAAGTGGAGTCCTGGTGTGATGTTGTAGGGTAAGCACTGACTGTGAACCACAAGGTCCAGGTTCAAACCCACCAGTCACGCCTTGGAACTGGATCACTGAAGTTGGAACCAACTTAATGGCACTTCATAACACTTTTAAGACAACAATGATACAGCTACATCAGAGCTAGTTGCAAAACTAGACTCATAGAAATTACCATAAGAATTTAAGAGAGGACATTTAGGCTGATGTGATAAGGGTGAGCTTTAAAATAAGGGCAGGATTTGACGTGGCTCTTGAAGTGAAGGCTCAACTTCGATAGGTAAAAAGGGAAAGGAGCATTTTAAATGGGACAATGGAAGTGAACCAAACTGCCTGGGTTCGAATCCTGGCTTCACCACTTAATATACCTGCAAGTCTTCATTTGTAAAATGGGGATGATAATAACAGCACCTCCCTCACAGAACTGGTGTGAGGATTAAAAGAATTAATGTGAATGGCCACCCAAGGTTCAACAACTGGTCTCTCTTCACCTGAACAACAGGAGGAGGAGGACAATCAGGGGCAGGAGGAAATGCAATGTGTGGCTGACTGCCCCCACGAACAACTGTCTCCTTTGACAGGAGACTACAAATGGATGGTACCCAGTTACCAGTATGGAAATTAGAATCCTGGCCAAAATGGTGAAAATGCAGAGCAGAATTTCAAATTCTCATGTAACCTTGACTTTCTGGAGCCATGGGAGGGTGCAGGATGAACCCTAGAAAACAATGCCTTGAGATACTCTTTAAAACTTGAACAAAGAAGTCCCCTGAAGTCTACTTTAAATCAACCAATGGTTTAGCTTAGTGAATTAGGAATGTCTGCCTATAGCACTGTGCATTTCTAAGAACTGTGGAAACAAACTGACAAGAGCAAATAGAAAGATTCGACAGGAAACTTAGGGAGCAGTATGTTCATGTTGATGGGCGAAGAACAATTAAGAAAGGAGATGAGAATCATATCTCACAAATTGAAGAATGTAGTCAATGTCACTGAACTGTACACGTACAAACTGTTGAATTGGTATGTTCTGCTGAGTATATTTTAAACAGTAACAAAAGGAAATTATTTTAGAAATAAGTAGTATGTATACACAGCATTTAGAGTAGTACAAGAAACACAGCAAGCATGTGCTAACTACAACTGTGACTCTATGAGTATAGGAAATAGCACACCAAAAAGGAAAAATAAGTAACTATGAAATACCTATGTACTTATGCTTAGGCAATAAATTATAAGATAGGAAGGTCCTTCAATTCTTAAAGCTATAACAAAGCATATTTCAACTGCATAAGGAGAACTCCTGGTGTGGCACCGTAGGATCAGCACTAGACTTCAAACCACAAGGTCAGCAGTTCAAACCCACCAGCTGCTCCTCTGAAACCCTAAACAGGGTCATGATGAATCAGAATTAACTGGAAGGCACTTAACAACAACAACAAGGAGGAAAACACTATAAAGGTAAAGGGAAAAAAATTACCATGGACCAGCTGTCAAAAATTTTCACTGCTAGTTCTCATTAACCCTTATATTAAGAACAAATGGAAAGCAGATCTTAAACCAATTTTAAACAGGAATCTAAAAAATAAGGAGAAAATAGTGGACATACTTAATATAAGAACACTTTCCAATTTCAATAAATTCCCATTTATAGATGTATACGCAGTTTCTCTACAAAATTACAGGTATATGTTTCAAAACACTTCTGTTTATAGTTACAATAATTAGACAAAGATAAAAATAGCATATTAAATTACATGTACACTTTTATTCATTTCTGTAAAAACACGCAGATTACAAAATGCTAAGAACTAGAATATACAAAGGAAACATTACTGAGTTCAAGTGGTAGCATCAGAGATTCCTCTTCCCTTAATTTGCTAAACTTCCTAGAATGATTCTACATTACTAATTAAAATGTGATTTTCAAATCAAAATGTATAGTCTGTAATGAACCCTGAAGTATAATCATTCAAAGGTTCAATAATAATACCTTAAACATCTTTTAAGGAAATGACTGTTTCTTTAACGTTATATAAAAAAAAATCTTATTTTTGTTCAAACTTACTATTGTTACAATTTCCATCCTCTTTTTACGTAGAATTTTAATTTGCCAGATGGCATTTGAGTGATGTGGAAAAATAGAACCCTTGTCATTCCACTTGATGTGCAATGTAGAAGTTGAAAACTCAGCAGACAAGTTCAAGATCTCCGGAGTATCTGGAATTAAGGCTTTAAAAAAAAAAAAAAAAAAGAGAGACTTACTAAAACAAATTACTTTTATATTGTAATTCTACACTAATTTCAGACTGTATTCTTACTTGAACAGACACCATCAAGAAATAAAAGCTAAAGCCTCCCACCAATTACTGAAGAAAAGAGAGCAAATTTGTGTTTATTTACACACAGCCAGCTCCCAGTGACAATATTCTGCTGCCTGTTTCGAACCCATAATACGTTTTCTAATACAGCAACTGATTTCCCACAATACCCTAGAGTCATTTGGTTTGAACTCTGGGACCTTCAAGTAGGCAACATCAAAGAGAAGTACAAGAGCTTCCTTTGTGTTACTGCCAGGTTGGGCCAAAGCTAACAACAAAATATGGAAAGCTGCTTGGTAAAATTTTCCATGTGTCTTCTCTGCAGCCTTCTTCCTGTCACTGCCTCTCAAGCTGGGGGTGCCAGCCACTGGAGGACCGCCACGAGCTCTCACTGGTTACATCAGACCAGCCACTGGCCCCATTCAGAGGATTTCAACACACGGTGCCCCCATGTGTGTCAGAGTAGAACCATGCACCATTGAGTTTCCAATGGCTGGTTTTTCAGACGTACATGGTCAGAAATTTTTTCTGAGGTGCCTCTAGGTGGACTCAAACCTCCAACCTTTTGGTTAGCAGCTGAGTATGTGAAATGAAGCATTTGTACCACCCCCAGGTTCCTTTTGCTGGTTGTATGGCTCACTGAACAGGTTCAGAACTGCAGTAAACACTAAGGCATGCAGAGTTAGGGAGCCAGTGGATGCACAAGTAGCGTGATGTCACAGTATTGCACTTCGGCATTGGTTTGTTGTTGTTAGGTGCAATCGAGTTGGTACCAACTCAGAGTGACCCTATGTACAACAGAACGAAACACTGCCAGGTCCTGGGCAAACCTCACAATTACTGCCACGCTTGAGCCCACTGAGGTTGCCACTTTGCCAATCCATCTCGCTGGGGTCTTCCTCTTTTTCTCTGACCTTCCTTCTGGTCTCTCCTGACAATGTGTCCAAAGTATGAGAGACAAAGTCTGGCCATCCTGGCCTCCAAGGAACACTCTGGCTAAACTCTTCCAAATGGATCTGTTGGTTCTTTTGGTAGCCCGTGACACTTTCAATAGTATCCTCTGACATCATAACTCTAATGCATCAATCCTTCTACAGTCTTCCTTATTCACTGTTCGGCTTTCACATGCATATGAGGTTACCGAAAATACCATGGATTGGGTCAGGCGCACCTTAGTCCTCAAGCTGACATCTTTGCTCTTCAACACTTTAAAACGGTCTTGTGCAGCATACTGGCCTAATGCAATACGTCATTTGTTCCTTGACTGCTGCTTC